TATAGGAGTTTAATCGCTCGCTCCCTTTCATCCGATAGAGAGTTTGAATTCAGTGATTTAGGAGCATAAATGTACTATCGGGAGAGGGCAAAAGCAAGCCTATATTCTGGATTGGATACTGCGCGAATTGGTCAACCGGAATATGGAATAGGAAACTCTCTCCTTTCATAGCTCTCGGGCCTATTCTATTCATTACAGGAGAAAGTCACTATCCTCAGTTGCCTTGTCTCTGCATTTAGCCCCCCCCTTTTCAGCCCTAGACTGGGTAGATTCTTTCGATTCTTCAATGAAAGCCTTCATGAAAGCTGCAACAGGATAAAGGATATCCTCTCTTCTCGCTCTGTCTGCTTAATGCCTTCTATTGAATCGATTGGTGCCATTTCTTCTCTTGGAGGCAGGGCAATAGATTCATCTTGTCCTTGGCTTGTGAAGGGAATGAGGTAGGGTAGCCAAAGCCCCCAACAAAGGGAGAGGGCAATCCTTCCCAAGTAATGCATAAGCAAGATCAGGACTAGAGGGGTGTGAAGAGTAGGGGGATCTCTTGTGCAAAGCAAAGACAGGTACGTGCTAGCAAAGAAGGGAAGTGGCAAGGGATTTCAAAGAAGAAGAAAGAAGAGAAAGTTAGTACACAGAGTCTTCCCCTGCCTAATTGATCTAATGAGAAAGAAGTAGGCTAAGTCAAATAGAAAGTGTGTGTAAACAATAAGTAATGACTTGCTTTGTGAGAGCTCAGTTTCTAAGACGAAGGCTAAGAATTCTCTACTAGAGGGATTGAAAAGATCGAGGGTAATTTCTGAGTCTTGATGGACCTTTCTTATTATAGGCCAAAGGAATAGCTAAGGACTTCTTCCCTCATTCTCATCAAATTGGGGTAGCTCAGGAACTCTAGAATCTCTCAGGAGTTGAATAAACTCTTTTATGCTAGTGGAATTGGGAAGCATGATAAGTCCGTACTCCACATTCTAGCTTCATCCTTGGTTTTCAAAGAAAGGAAACTTCAAAGACTGACAGAAGATAAAGGTAAGATAATTCTTTCTGGCCTTAACTGAAAGCGGGGGAGGCCCAGGTCTACATACAGGTCTTGGATCAATAGAATCCTCCGGGAAAGAATATCGGGATTAGTCTCCTTGCCATTGCTACTGTCTTTGAAAGTCTAGCTATCCTCTCCTTGTCATGCTTAGTTATTCTGCATTGCTCCTTCTTCTGATCTTGCTTTCTTGCCTTATAGAACTGACCTTTGTCCCCTCCTTCCGGTTTTCACTCACTTAAAGTCCATTCCTTGCTCTTGCCTAGTTCTAGGCTTAGACGAAAGAGCTCATTCATAGATTCCATCTTTCTAGCATTTCATGTCTTTCTTCCTTCAACTCTAATTCATGCCATGAATTGTTAAGTCCTTCTATAATAGCTATTGGCTCTCTTCTCACCTCCCCTAGAGCCTATTGAAGAAAAATCCGAGGCTGCCCTAAGCCCTACAGTTCCTTCGCTTACCGCCTAAGATGAATCTATTGCCTCCCCTCCCTCCACGAGTAGATATTTAGTATTGAATAGTGTCAAACCCGCAATAGTCAAGAAGAAAAACTCAGGACTAGGAAAGAAAGGCAGAGACAGGGAAAGCTAGGGTGATAGCCCTATAGATGAGTAATAGGATAGGGAGCACTCCGCTACACTCATTAGGACAACAACCTCCTAACTACTATGAGTTAAGCAACTAATGGACAGACCAGACCGCATAAGACTACTGGAATAGAAAAAGAGAAGGGATTCACGGGCAGTGAAGGCAACCAAGGGAGAGGAATCATTCCATTCAATTCCGAAGCCTAGCGTCTCCTGTAAGACTCTATCACCTTAATTCTTTTGTTGAGGTTCTGGCACTTCTTCCTCCGGCCCTCTATTTACATAGCGAAGAAAGGCAAAGGCTCTTGCTCGAATGCGTGACTTATGTCTCTTTTTCCATTTATAAAAAGTAAGATGAATCTACGCTCCTCGGCCTATAGTAAGTGAATGAGAGGGTATGGGGTTCCGGGTCTTTTTCCAGTCAAAATTGACTAATAGGCAATCCCCTTTTTCCGTGATAATGTGAAAGGACTCAATTCCTTCTTTCTTCCCCAGCGAAATGTAGCAGGAACAGCCTTCCCGCAGTCGCATTAAGGATATTTTTTCTTGAAACTCTTTACTCCCGTAGCAAGTACTCATTTCTATTTAGTTGTTTTCTTACTCTATCCGGCTATTGAACCTGGTTTCCCTCTGCATATGCTAATAGAGAGTTAGACAGCTTAGAGAGCTCCTCAAAGGGCTAGTTCTCACTCTGTTTTGGGGACCCCCAAGACTGTCTTTCCCCTAGTCTATATAGGTCCAATCTCATCTGCTAGCGCTTCTTCGTTGCTTGGTCGGGACACATTCATCGATTTCTTTTCGGGCTTGCAAGTGACTTACTTCTTTTGCCCGTTCTTGCTGTCTTAAGTCGTCCTCTTTTCTTTAGAAGCTGTTAATTTCTTTCCTGCCTGCCCTAAGGCTAAGGGGAGAACTGCATGTACTAATAGTCGGATAGAAGCCTACCAGCCTACCTTGTTCATATCGAGCCGGACAGGAGAGACCCTCTTTCAAGTTAAGAGAAGCAATTCCGCTTGAAAATAGGCGCTGTAAATCAATTCAAATAGATAGGGGAGTTCCGAACCAGCAGCAAGCCCTTTCTAATGTCCTAGGCGAAGGCAGTGCAGGTGAAAGCCCAATAGATCCCATTTTTTTGATCGCTCCACATAGCTCACGACCCGGCACGAAGAAATCTCTTAGATGGGCGGATGCGAATCTGGATCTATCAACGGAGCAATTCCATTCCAGTCGTAGTCTCAATCCCATATTCAATGTGCCGTCTCCGCCGTGTCTGACCCCCTCAATCTTTCTATCCGGAGTGAGTCAGGCGGCTAAGCCTTTCATCCTGATAAAAGAAAGAGTTTTCCCACCCTCCATAAATGGAATCGGTTTGAGTGAATTACTTACCGCAGTCAAAGCCAATAGGGAAAGTCAGGTCAAGAGAGAGTCTCTTTCCGATTAGTGCATCTCGCACTTCCAATTCATTCCGAGTTAGAAAAAGTAAGTTCCTTCCCGGGTAAAGTCCTCTTAAATGGATTACTAGTTCCTTCCTTCCCAATCAATGCTAACTCTATCTTCCTCTCTTGTAATTTAGGAGATTTCCCCAGCCCATAAAGAACTGTAGTTACATACAGCTCTCAAAAGATAAAAAGAGAAAGAGCTATGACTTCAAGTAAGAAAGTGAAAGTTCAGTCCTCACCGCCAAAAAGAAGACAGCAACAATCCGTACTACTTCTCTCAGTAAATAACATTCTCTTAGTTAGAGAGTAAGTAGATAGACGGATTAGTACTTTTACCCAGGGGTAGCCTTCCTTGTCGCCAAAGAAGAATGAGAATTGATAAAGTTTTCTTGGGCTTCAATAGCAGAAGCAAAGAAGTCAAATCAATGCAGCTTTCGTGCCCAGCCTAAAGATCCTATCCTCGCAGCAGCTGGAGCTCTTGATGGCACGTTCAAGCGAGTTTATGAATGAATGAAATCAGTTGAAGGAGCGGCCAAGGACGAAAGCTTTGATTGCGTTCTGCTATGGTTGGCTTTTTTCCTTGCCTAAAACAACTATCTTCTCTTCGCGAACGGTTAAGAATCCTCTTTGTATGCGCGTTCTCTCTTGTTTATTCTTCTAGTTTTTCCTTCTTATGCTTATGGGTGAGACTCCCTTTCTTCTTAGGTTGTCTGTAAGTCTAGTTCGTGGTTCACGGGTGAGGTTACCTGGATAGGTGGGCAGTTCCTATCGGTGGAGCTAAGACACCTTCGAGAGATATAGCTCTAGCTCTTGATGGCACGGGCAAGACAGTTCATGAATGAATGGCGAGTTTTCTATTTACTAGAATATCTTTCCTGCGAAGGAAGCTTCTTTTTAGAATTTCTTGCGTGAAGAAATTGAATCAACGGCATCGAATGCAAGCTCTGATAAAGTTTGATTCTTCTTTATGGACTACAACGACCTAAAGTAGCTAAATAAGTAGTGAAAGTAAGCTCCTGGCTAAAATGAGTCTTGGTTCTACCCACCGGCAAGAATTTTTCGACCTGATTAAATGATTGTAGATTGGCTATTTCGGGGTTCCATGCCCATGGATTGCCTTATTATAGCTTTTTTGATTCGTCGGGTATGCCGGCTAAGAGAATCGCTTCTCGCCTTGCTTGCAAGAGTATAAGCAAGCCGTAGCATTTTGACCCAGATAGAACTCTTTCAATTCATGAGAGAAAGTGCTTTAGTAGCGATTTCCCTGTTCTAGTGCAAGACGCAAGGAGAAGCACGAGCGGAGCGGTCTGGCTAAACGTGCAATGCCCCGTAGGGAGATCTAGCTTATTGGTCTAGTGCTTCCGGGTGCTTGCCAGTTCTGAATGACTGCTTGCCATGTTCTTACAAGAAAGAATCTCTTCTCCGAATCGAATCTACGCATATCGAATTCAGTAAAGACTTGAATAGATGCCTTCCTTCAAATAGAGTTCATCCTGTTGATGGTCTTTACTACACTAAGGCTAGATCCGGACTAATCCTAGCCTATTCTTATGAAGGAAGGTGAGCATGAAGCAACGGCTAGATCCTCACAGTAGGCAGCTTAGCTGTGATTATGAAGTCAGGTGAGAAGCGTTATGCAATAGAGAAGTCAGCTAGTGCACTTAGACAGGTAGTTGATTTCATTAGGGAATTGAATTGCAGGAAGGTCAGGTAGTCCTTAGGCCGTTGAGCGAAACTCTTGGCATCCTCCTCTTATGAGGGGATAGGAGTGAAAGAATCATTATAAAACTACGAGGTCGCCCCCACTTCTTAGAGCTCTCTTGCTACCTTATAATAGGTTCCTTAGACTATAGGCAGAAAGGCCGAGGCAGAGCCAGCAATTCTCTAAAAGCAAGGACGATTAGCTACGTTCCAATGAAGCACATTCCAACAATTACCTAGCCCGGTAGG